CCAACCATACAACTTTCCTCTTAACATCAGAGTCCAAATGCAATTTCAGAGTCACCAACCTTGCTCTGAATTGTAACCTCCTGTGCTTGAATAAGTTGCAGATTCTCTTAATATTCCTCCAGAGTTGTGACAGCTTGGCCACAGAGCCATCATTGCCATAGAGTAGGATTGTTGCAGGCAACTTTTCAGCCAGCAGCCAGTTCTGTGAGGGAGGATTAGTGAAAGTATCATTGACAATTGATGCAGTCTCAGTAAACTCAGGCATAGCTCCCCCCTGGCATTTGGTTGCATCATTGTATCTTCAGGGGATGCAAGTCAGATTAGCCTTACGTACATGAGGAAGATGAGAGAATGACTGTAAAGTGTTCAAGGCAGTGTGCGTGCTTCAACACCTGCCAATTTCCGATAATCAAACATTGCATATTTGAAATGTTTCTTTTTCAATGGTGTGTTGCCTTGACATCTTGTAGTTAATATTAAATTATAATAATATTAATATTATTAATGATTATGAAAAGCAAAATACCAATCGTTCGTTATTGATAAGGATTTTATAATTACCCAGCAAGATCTGCTCCGCGTTTTGATTCCAATTAATATTTATAAAAAATATCAATACAAATAAAAAATAGTACCTCTGGTTAGTTATTAGCAACACTCATGTGTTTAGTCAAGAAAAAAAAACAATAATGTCAACAAAAAAAACATATGTGCAACACCAAGTGCCAATAATAAATAATTAATGATGCAATCAAATAAATTACTTTTTTAATTAATAATAAAAAATCAGGAAACAAGAAATTTTGCATGCATATTCTACAGGACCTAGGCCACAAGCTATGTATACTTATTATGTGTGTTTTCACGTAATTGGTTTCTGAAAATTTTCTGTAGCGTACTATTTAATCTAATAAAATATACTTGAATCTACTAAAACAAATAAACAAAGGATTAATTTATTATATTAAAAAAGAAATAAAGAAACTTTAAAGTATATAAAACATAAATCAGAATCAAATCTTAGTGAAAATGTGGGAAAAATTGATAATAATAATGATATAATCCAGTAAGAATCATTTAAAAAATAAAATTATTCTTTCCTTGAAACTCACCTTAAAAAAATTAGTTTACTGACACTAACTATGTTACTTTGCCAATAGAGTTGATTATTTTGTGATAGGATGGGCCTTGAAGGAAAATCAAATTTATGGAAAAA